GGATCGAGTCCCGCATCGGGCTCCCTGCTCAGCGGGGAGCCTGCTTCTCCCTCTGACCCTCCCCCCTCTCATGTACTCTCTCTCATTCTCGCTCTCTCAAATAAATAAATAAATCTTTAAAAAAAAAAAATGTTTGTTGGGATCTTAAGCATTCTTTAAAACCTGGATGGTTTTATCTGATTTAGGAGCAAATGAAGTACATATGGGAAAGGCTAGGGAGCAAAGCATATTCTGTACACACGTGTATCATAGCAATGGACACATGAAGTTGGTGCTAACAACCCTAACCCTCTTTATAGAATACTGAACACAACTTTGGAACAGAACCTTCAAAATTTTTGTTTTCAGTAGGTGACCCTTGGTCCTAAGAGTTTTCTTTTGTTTTGTCATTCCTTGTGTTTAAGACCTAACAGGCTGGAACTCTGCTCTTATCATTGCCCAGATGTTTGCTCCCTTTTTATCTTCCTTTGGGAGGAGTGTCTGAGAGGAGATAGGGAGTACAGTTAAGTGGTCACGGGAAGGACTAGCATTTCCTGAGCTCTTAATATAAAAAAGCACCTCATTTAATTCTGTTGTTTGGGTTGGTTTTCTCATTTTGTTAAAGAACGATAGGGTTGAGAGCTAAGTGACGTTCTCAAGGCCATCTACTGGTAGGTGGAAGTCAGGACAGTCCGTCATTTGTGTGACTTTACAGCCTGCTGCCTCTCAGATGTGTGGTTTATAAATACAGTTACATTGTTAAGTTTTACCCAAACAAAACCCCACTGCGATGCTGATTAACAAATTCCACCAGTCGAGTTAGTGACTTTGGTTACTTTAATGGTGTGAAAAGCTTTTCCTTTTTCACTTAGCCACAGCTCCCTTTTCACCACTCACAATGCTTGTTTTTAATTATATTCCCAAGTACACTTCATTATGTACTGAATCTTCCTGTCTGCTCCACCAAAGGAAATCTGACTCCCCAGAGCAGTTCCAACTCTACAGCACTTCCCTAACTTGAACCTACCTTAGTCCTTGCACGGGAGACATTTCTCAGTGGCGGAGTGAGGACAGCTGCCAGAGTGGCAAAGAGCAAGCTCTGGAGTATGGGACTGGTGTGTCCAGGACTCCACCATCCACTTCCTCCAGCACGACCACTACAGCAGTCCGACGCCTACACTGGAAGGAATAGGTCCAAGATAAAAACCACAATCTGCTCAATGAGCAGTCAAAAGCCTCCATCACCTACCAGGTCATCTTTATTCCTCGTACGTGCTGCACTTGCAAGTATTAATTCAGCTTAAAGCCGCTATGTAAGGTAGAAACTTGCATTTTAAAAAAGCTTTCCAGGAGATTCTGTCAACATTAAAGTACCCAGTGTAGGCAGTCTGTATGTCCACTGGTGATCACTACAATTAACAAGAGTGCAAAACTGGAATAGCAAACAATTCTGAGGAAAAGCTCAAGAACTTTGTCCTACTGACATCACTTTTCACACTTGTGCAAAACTATGGCTGAATTCATCTGTAGAGTAATTGCTCTTATGGACTATAACTTGAAAGGCTAAAACAAAACTCAAACCTAAAACTGACCTTGGGTATATGCCCTGACACTTGTAAGGTCTAAAAGCTCTTAATTTCATGGCAATAAAAGAAAAACCCTTTCATCTGTGAGGCTCTTCACTGCTTTGGAGGGTGGTACTGGGGAGGGGGAAGAAGGCAGTTCATACAGCAGAGCTAAAACAAAAATGTACAATTGAGAACAGCAGGGCAAAAAAAGAGGGAAGAAACAATGGAGTAGGATGTGTTACAAAACGGAATTACTAACTTTGGTAAGGTGGAATTGACAAACTTTGTAATGTTCCTAAATAAAACTCATGCAATTTATTATATGCTAATACAACAAGCCCTTACTGGTGTTATCAACAGAAGATTAAGACAACTCTCTTTCAATTGATTTCAAAACATTTATTTTACATTTAGGCTTAAGATGCATTTTAGAGAAAGTAACTTTTCTATCCTAGTTTTATTTTATTAAAGCCACTGCATGGCTTCAATGTTCTTTCAAGGGGAAGGTGCAGGTAAATCGGTGGGGAAGGCAAGGGGTTGGAGAGAGCAGCAATAATAAAGTAGTTTATGATTAAATATTTTTTCATGGATAACCCCCCTTCCAGATAATTGCAATTCCTCTTTGCTTTTTGGGGAGGTGATTCAACAGTTTAACCAAGAAAATCCCGAAGTATGAATTAGAATGAACAACTTAAATTCTGGAAACAGTAGGCATGCAGTTTAATACACACCCAACTTTAACGGCACCTGGACTGGATTTCATCATTCCCTCCCAATAGCTAAAACATACCTCTATCAAGAATCTCATCAATGCCACCTATTTAATAGCCTTCCCTGATCGCCCAAACCTTAAACCTCACAACCCTATGAATAGGTACATTTTGTAGGTAAGGAAATCAAGGCACAAAGTCAAGTAATTCACCACAAGGACATCAGCTACCAAGTGGTGGGTCTGAGACTAGAATACAATCTGAATGAACTCAAAGGCCACACTCCTTCAAGATTTATGAAGTTACTCAGATAAAGAGAAACTTAACATTAAGACCTTATTTCCCAGGGACTGAAAGTTATTTCTGATTCACATTAACAGGACATGTTACAGCCTTGGATTTACATTTTCAATAAACAAATTTTATTAATAATTCCTCGTAATAGATACTGTCCTGAAATTCTGTAACTAACTAAATTTATGCCACACACACATTCCTGTTTTGGATTTTCTATCAGCAAACACCCTATTCAATAGTCCTTGGGGGTTTTGAGCATATTCAGAAAACAAAATCCCAATCATTGCGGACAACAAATGAGTACAGGTGAAGTTTTTCAAACCAAGTGAAGCTGCTTGAAAAATACACCTTAAAAGAAAGAATGTATTCATTACTTAACAATAGGCAAATCAAACAACTACTAAACAGGTTTTAAGCGAGGCTTCCGCCCAAAAGTTAGAAATAAGGGAAATTAGCTCTCAGAATTTCCTCTGGGGTTAAAGGATCACAGTGAATGGGTGAACTCACCTTTATGAAAACAATTACTCCTAGCCATACAACCTTCAATGTATCTTGCTTATCAACCTATTCTAAAGAACGTGTCAGGTGAAAATAGATACTAGTAAATTATACGGAACAGAAAAAGAGGAGTCACAGAAGCAAAAGCTGGCTGTGCCCAAATCGACACTGTGGAATAAAAAATGGATGCATATAAAATCTTAAAAAAAAAAGGGGGGGGGCGCCTGGGTGGCTCAGTCTTTAGCATCTGCCTTCGGCTCAGGTCATGATCCCAGGGTCCTGGGATCGAGCCCCTCATCGGGCTCCCTGCTCCACGGGAAGCCTGCTTCTCCCTCTCCCATTCCCCCTGCTTGTATTCCCTCTCTCGCTGTCTCTCTCTTGTCAAATAAATAAATAAAATCTTTAAAAAAAAAAAAATGGATGCATGGCCAATCAGACCTAAAACACTGAGCATTCCAGACCCACTGGCAAGATCATCTCTACTATAAAGGCAAACTTCCCTTACAAAATAAGCGCACTTCTAATTTGGCTTACAGCAATCAAATTTCAGGTATTAGAGGAATTGTGAATTCTCAAATTAATACACTGGTATCATAACTTGGTACCCTAGGAGGGCAGAGACAGAATGTACTGTTTTCCAACGCAAAGATCCCCATCTAAATCAGCCTACCATAAATATCCAGGCACACAAGATTACCAAGTATCATTCTGTGAGCTCAGTTAACACAAGTTTCCTGGGTGTGGGATTCACTAATCCTTCATCTGGGTAAATGCAGTTAGTGAACCCTACTGCCTCCCAAGAAAGCCTCTTGAGCAAAAGATTGCTAAATCAAAGATTCTTCACAAGAGCTCTCAAATTTTTCTCAGCAGAGATCTTAAAAGTCACCCAGCAATTTAAGCACAGTAGTAGCTAAAGAAGCAACTGCTTACTGTTTAGATAAAATGTGGAAATGGTGAGATATTTTGAGAATATAACTGTCTTCCTTCAGAGCTACTACCATGTTAAAAAAAAACAAATCCTCCCTATTTCCACAGTAAATGCAAAATACCCTAACATATCTAATCAACCCAAGATACTTCTACAGTACACAAGTCATGCATAGGTATGCACTGGTTTATTTCTAAGGTTGGTTATGGAATAAAAACCAGCAATTTAAATTCTCAAATATAACCAAAAAATTTGCTTAAAATGCTAGGAAAGGCAACTGGTAACTAACAAAAGCATTTAAAATTTGGTTCTCTGAAGAAGACCAGTCATTTCTTTAGGTCAAGGAAGACAGACCAAAAAAAAAAGAAAAAGAAAGGTATTCTACCTAATTATAATCTGTTGGTACAAAGTCATGCAAGCACCTCTCATGACATTCCACACGAAACCACTGATATATCATGGTAGAAATCTGGACTCAACAACTCTAACCAGAATGCACCTGCACACACAGAGAAAGATCAAGATGCACCTGTGACTGCTTTCAAAGACAAACCTAAGAAACAAACTTCAGGTTCAACAACAAAAGGGAATTGGGACATTTTGCAAGGTCTTACCCCTAAAGGATACCGCTAAAGTTTGGTACAGCAGGCCTTCCAAGAATGTTTCAGTGAAAAAAACACTCTGCTTTTTGGTTCTGAAAACATTAAATTTTAAAGTAGCTAAGGCATATATTTAGGGGGCACAACTCAATACTGGAAAACTACTTAAAGAGGTAGAAGTTAAGCCTTTCTATGCAATGTGCTTCTGCATAAAGGTAACAAAACTATGATCTAGGGAAAAGACAACTGAAAAATGAATCACTCTTTTAAAGGATGTTCAAAGATAATGCTTTTTAATATTTCAAATATTAAAAAAAAATCTCATCAAAAATGTAAATCACCTTAACAGTACTTTGCACATGTGGAATTTCATACCTAAATTTGATGATACTATTTTGGTTTATTTATGGCTACTTACAAGAAGACTCAATAATAATGTCCATTCATTGGAGTCTTTTTCTTTGGTTGAGCCTATTGGGACCAGGCTGATGAACTATTTTATGCAAATGAGATGGGGAAAGCAAATTAATGGTAGTATGAGTAATAGGGGTTTTCATTTAATGGAAATGAAACTTAAAAGGATTTTCATATTCATCCCCATGGTGGTTTTAGAACCTATAAACCTCTTCAGAGGTTAAAGAGTTTGAATAGCTCACACAATCCTGTACAAATTACAACTGGCTGCCCTTTAATAAATAAAGTCATTGTAAAGAATTACATTTACAGAGTGAAAAGTGAATACATAGCATTTCAAATTTAATTTTGGAAGTACTAATAAGTACTGACCCATAACAATATATACTAGCTACCTTTAAACTGTCCATCATTAGCACCAATAAAGATTCAACAAAATCACCTTTATTCCCACATCTCAAAACAATTCTGCAAATTCTTAGTGAAGTTTAAGTATAGTCACAGACCTTAAATATTCACATTGTTTTCTATGTCATACTGAAAATAAGTTCACTACTTTTTTGGATTTTCTTTACAAAATCTTATTAAAATTCCTGGTATTATCATCCCCCATTATACAGTAGCACGACCACCCTATGTCGTTTCACATGATAGCTCCTTAGAGGTTTCACATCTAAATTACCAAGAACAAAACCCTTCCCCGCCCTCATCTTGCACTCAGCTTAATTCTATACTAGTCCTCAGATTATGTACCACTGTAAAAGTATAACTGTATCAAAATTACCATGTTTATGGATACAATAATATGCCATACAGAGCAACAAAGTTACATGTAATGACAAAGATTACTAACGTTATGCAAGACAAAGAACAAATGTTAGGACATGCTAGCTAGGCAAAGTCCCTAGAAAGAGGCTCCTAGTATCCTAAGTTCAAATAACATTGACAAAATAATGAACAATTATCTTAAAAAAAATTATAAAGCTACTGGCAAATTAGGTAATCGCTAAATAAAGGTAGAGCACGAGATTAAACGCTCTAATATTTACAACTGCAACATACTTGAGTAAAATTACAATTGTGCACATATCAGTGGCTTTGTAACAAAAATAATTCATATACATAGAGGAAAAAATTAAGACAGTTTTCAGTTCAACGAAAGTTGAAAATTCACCCCATCTAAAGACACTCAACAGCTCAAAGATTTACCACAGAATAAATTCAAGATTAGCTGATAAACCGGAGCCACATTACTGGTGTTTATGACAGATTTTAAACAAGTTAAAGTCTATTGTTTGTTCAGAAGTTAGATGACTGTGCAAACTTGACCTCAACAGGAATATACTGAGATGTGCAAACAAATGTAAAACCTCCACTAGCTTGTTTACCTGGAGGCTAACCCTTTTTTCTCACAGAGCTTCCTGATAACAACCATAAGCTATAAATACAGGTACAATGCACAGTCAGTGATCTTTTCTTTTTATTTATTGTTAGAATATAAAAGAACTGAGAGAGCAACAGGTAAGTTCATTTCTATAAGGAAGACTGCATTTACCTGAAAAAGGAATACGGCATCACACACAAACACACTTCATGGGAGGAGTATGTTTTAAGAATATGGTGTCATTCTGAACACTAAAGGAAAAGCAATCCCTGTTTACTGTTAAAATATGTAGTGTTAAAGTTCTTTATTTAAGAAAAAAACTTACTAGTTCTTCACTATGTAAGTTTCGTGGATTTAGTTTTCAAATCACAGTAATCTACATAACCATTATTAACAGCTCTGTGTTTATAGTACTGCAACAAGCCGACAGACATTTCAAATGCACTTCACATCAAGAGTATGTAAACTTTATTTTTTCCTCTTCAAGCCTTCAGAAAATTAGGGGCTATTTCAGCAGCCCACCTGGTCAGAAGCTCTGAAGGCAAAAGTTCAGTGCCTCACAGTGTAAATACATGACCATCTGCGGCACTGCGTACCCATCTGGTAGTGAAGTGTCCCCCCCTTCAGTGGCTTCCAGTAAGGCCTAGAGTTTAAGGTTAACATGAAAAAGTGCCACCTTTGTTTTAGATTAGTGATGGACTCTGACAAGATAAAATAAAGTTATATCGTTATACTTACAAGCAGCTCCAATCCTGAGTATTTATGGTAATATCTAAACATACAAAAATGTATGTACATTTTTCTCCACTTTCTTGTAAACAGTTGTCAGTATACTGTTTTATCCCTTTATCATTGAAACATGCAAATCATACATACAAGTATAAATACACAAAAGAAAACAATTTACACTCATTCAAAAGCCAAGCAACAACAACAAAAAAATAGCTACAGTATTCAAATTATAAATAATGAATGCTTGAGGCATCTTATATTCCTAGAAGCAGCCAGCCATTCATCCTAATGTTCTTAGCTGCAATTGTAGAAATACTGAGTTTTGCACCTTCCATGCTTTTACAGTATTTATAACACTATCATATGTGGAGATAAAGACTTGTTTACTATCATCTCTTCTTTTCAGAATGAAGAATAAAGCAGCACTTACAAATATCGATACAGTGGCAGCAAGAGCAGGTGTCACCACTGCTAGATCAGGAGAAAGTTTTCCATTCTAACCATTTTTAAGTTAAAAAAGTAAAGGAAAAATGGACCTAAACAAATGATTACATGTTCATCCCTTGGGCACTTAACAGCGAGTCCAGCATGTCGAATGTGTCTTTGTAGTCCATATGCTGGCTGTTTGTACTGTACTCGTGATTGACATCAGGACCGTTGGTCTCCACTGGCTTCTTGTCCAGTTTCACGAGGGTGCTGAGCTGTCCGTAGCCCACCTGGTATGTGACAGGGGGAGGAGGGGGTAAGGGATGGTTAAAAACAGAGCTGTGAGAGGGTATATACTGCTTAACAGAGGAGGAAGAACTAGATGAACTACCTGAACTTTTGGAACTTTTGCTCATTTTGGAGTGATGGTTGTGAGATGCATCACTGACATGCAGCTTCTTCCTTGAAGAGCCGGAACTAGAGGAAATGCCATCACTGCTCAGGCCGACGGGACTCCTCAGAACAGTGGGTGGTATCCCGTCAGCACTGTGTTTACTGCTGCCGCCACTGTGTGAGTGGGAATGCTTGTGACTGCTAGGGTGGTGGCGGTTTGAGGGATGGTCCTTGTGCTTCTCCTTATGGTCTCTGCTAATATGTGGGCTCGAATGCTTGCTCTTCCCACTGCCCTCATCGGAAGAGCTGTGTCTTTCTGAGGAAGCAACTTTGATTTTCATTTTCAGTTCTTCTTTACTAGCACTCTTATCAGTGGGTGGTATTGGAATCCGTAATTTCAGTGATCCGCTCTTTTCCTTCTTTTCCGCCATGCATTTTTCAGGTTTTTCCGTATTTGTGATGGGAATTTTCATTTTAATGGGAGAAGTGACAGAACTGCTGCTGGCTGGCTGTGACTGCACGTGTTTGTGTTGCTGTTCTACTTGGGCAGCTACATAATGATCTCTTACATCCAGATCAAGGGTTTCTAGCTTACGCTTTTCTCTATATTTATCTAAAGACATTTTCTGAGGAATTACTCCAGGAGTAGCAGAAATTGGCCCGTGGTGTTTACTGCTCCCTGCTTTATGAGCATATTCTTGCTTAATGGATGAATGATCGGAAATTCTGTCCGGTCTGTGATGTAATCCTGAATGCAGTGATATAGAAGGTCCCTGCTGGAAGTTGATGTTGTACTGGGTACCAGACAAAGATGTCTCCTGTTTCTGTGAATACATCTGTTCTGTCCTTGCTGATTCTTGATGTTGAGGCCATTCTTGGTGTGATGACAAACCATAGGAGGTACTTGGCATTCCTGTTGCCAGCATTGACAAATTATCAGATGTATGACTGTCTTGAACAGAAATATTTCCTGAATTTAGAGGTACTGGTGCAGGGAATGCTGATGTAGATGGTTTCTGAAAACTTGGGTTTGTAGGCACACCAGTAACACTATCTACTAAAATGGAATTCTGGACCAAAGATGAACCAAGAAGTGGCGTTTCTGAAACTTGTCCATCTACTTTTGGTTTCTTAGCCGCCTGATTAGCCTATTTAAATAAAACACAAAAGAAGCAATGACAGCAAAGGAATTTAATACAAATTTCCTTGCTTTATAAAAATCTATATTAAATATATGCAAACAAAATCACCTGGGGTTTAAGGCTTTATGTCACCAGTAAATAAATGTCTTATTTAGAGGCCCAAAAGAAGGCTGTAAAAAGTGGAAACCACTGGTTTCAGAGTTAGATACAGGTTAAATCCTAGCGAGCATTTGAGAAAGTAATTTAACTTGTCTAGGCTTTAATTTGCCCATTTGTAAAATAAGGAGAATATTTCCATTATAATCACCGTGAGAATTAAACACACAATTTATAAAGTACTTAACAAAGTCCACTGGACACAGCAGTTGAATAAACTATGAGTGTATGCAGCTTACAATACACTGTAATTATCTAGGAATACTGGAAATAAGGATATTTAACTAAAAAATTCAAACTGGTTAGCTATGTAATTGTTAGATAAGCGACAAACTGATATTCTATTAAACCCTGCCAATTCTCTTACCCTCCAGTTTCGAATCCTCTTCAACCTACTAGGTGTTTTCTCCAATATTTGTAGAAACTCATGTGTTAGCTCTAAAAATAAAATTTAAATTTAAAACTTAGAAGGTGTCTTTAGGATTTATATTTCTCTCAAGTGGGCAATATTAAAAAGGGGCCTCAAGAGTTCATCTACTTCACTGTCACCCTTCTATTCAACCTTCAGCACATATAGAAGTAGACACAGATCTGAACTATTTTCAAAGATGAATTCTTAAAAAAAAAAAAAAAAATCACTCTCCCCCCACCCCCATGCTTACTCAGAATCTCTGGAAAATTTAGTAGCATTAAAATTCCCCCCAAATAGAAAATCTTCATTAGGCAAACATCATAGTAATAATTATTGCAGGCAAGATCTATCAATAGATTCTTTAAAATTAATGGACAAAAGTTTGAGGAAAAAGAAGATATCTGTGTAATCCTAAAATACCTTCCTCAAGATATTTAATTACAAAGAGAAGACCAGTAACTTTACAATGGAGAAACTCAACAGATACCACCTTAACCAAGTGCTCAGAGTTATTATTACCAGTAATAAGGTGTACACTTTGAGAAAAACAAAACAAACAACCCTTGATATATGATGTAGCCCTTGATAAGATGCACAGGGTAAGGTACAACCCATTTCCCATTTCTGTGGTATTCTTGCCAAAAATACATAATTTCAATCTAATATTGAAAAATATTAAACCCCAACTGAGAAACATTCTATACTATAACTATTATTTTTCTTTCTTTTTCTTTTTTTTTAAAGATTTTATTTATTTGAAAGAGAAGAGAGCACGTGTGCGCAAAAGCAGGGGGAGTGGCAGAGGGAGAGGGAGAAGCAGACTCTCCACTGAGCAGGGAGCCTGATGTGGGGCTTGATCCCAGAACCCTAGGATCATGACCTGAGCCGAAGACAGACGCTTAACTGACTGAGCCACCTTGGCGCCCCCGACCATTATTTTTCAAAGTGTCAAGGTCACAAAAGAAAATGAACGAGAGAAAAACTGACATAATTTAGAAGAGATTTAAGGGGCATTTCAAGCAAATGGAACATGGGATCCTAGAACAGAAAAACTGAGGACATCAAATAAAACCTATAGTTAGGTAAATAATATTGTAACAATGTTAATCTCTTGGTTTCGATAATCATGTATATAAGATGTTAACATTAGAGAAACCTGGTAAAGGGTACATAGAAACTGTACTATTCCGTAGTTTAAGTTTAAAATTATTTCAGTGTTAAATGAAAAAAATTTTTCCATCTATACTCAGATTCCTAGTAATTATTACTATTAACTATTAGTAAAACCACCGTGGTCATATATTTTTACCTCACTTTTTTCTTAAATTTGGGATTACAGTGAGATGACTCACTTTTCCAAGGTGGTGCAGTGATGAATTCTACTTTCCTAACCCCAAAATAGTGCCATTAATAAAGCTATTGACCACTCAAGACAAATATTCATACCAAATGAATTACAGTATCATGTAATATCAATAATGCCAATTCAGTAGAGACTACATAGATTCATTTATTATTTTTTAGTATACACAGTAAGCTTCTCTATGAATGATTCTAGGCAAATATGCCAAGACTGATAATGAAAATTCAGACAATACGAAATTTTTCTTGAAGCAAAAAATATGCAAAACCTCGGCACTTATTATATGTTCATAAGCTGTGTTAAACCTGCTCAAGATTCATGAACTTTTTGATCCAATTTGAATGAAAACAATCTAATGCTTAGACTACCATTCTTCCTAACCTGAAAAAACCCCCACCTTTTTCTACTTGGGCACTTAAGAATCTGTCAAATAATCACTGCTAATCTATTAGTTATGTGCACAAAAATCACAGATGATGCTTAAAATAGAGCTTTTCCCTTCAAAGCTACTACACAGAAAAAAATTCAAAATGCAAAAAACACACGAGGGTTTGTTATTAAGCAGAAAATAAAAACTCTGCAAAGCAACAAATGTTACAGGTAGGCCAAGTCCAAGCCAACGGTGTTTTTGCAACAGTCATTAAATGAATTATTTTAGTGAACACTGATGCTTAGACACCAGGCTAAAATTCAGATATATCTTAATATCTTAAACTGTTACTTTTCTTTTTTTTTTTGTGATTAAAACACAGAGAAAGACTGCTATATGAAATGCTGAAATTGTCGATGTCTTAAATGTCCCGGATTCCTACTCAGTGGCTCTCCAAATGAGTAACAGACTTGAGCCTTTTCAGGATGGAAGCAGAGAGATTATTTAGGTGGCCCTCGCTGTGTCAAAAAAACCAACTTTATAACTTAAGAGCAGTGTTAAGAGGCAGATTACTTGCTTTTTGTGAACTTTTGTTTTAGGATCATGTATATAAACTATTTTTATTCAGATTACACCTACTTTATCTTATCTTTTAACTGCTGAAGTAAGATGGTGGCATCGATAACCTATTTTTCAAGTCATAGATAAAAAAGCCCCCATTTTTAGAAGATGCCATTTCAACTCATTTAAGATTTCCTTCTCTCATTTTTTAAAAAGATTTTAATTATTTATTTGAGGGAGGGTGGGGAGAACACAGAAGGACAGTGAGAGAGAGAAGCAGATTCCCTGCTGAGCTGACAGCCTGACCTGGGGCTCGATCCCAGGACCCTGAGATCATGACCTGAGCCGAAGGCAGACGCTTAACTGACTGAGCCACCCAGGCGCCCCTCCCTTCTCTCTTGTTAAACTTAAAAACAAAACAAAACAAAACAAAAAAAACCTCTGGCGACGTAAGGAAAAGGGCATAATCATGTAGCAGTAATATAGCATGAGATACATACTCTGTGAGAAATTTTTCAGGGAAAAAAAAAAACAAAACCCCAAATCAAAAAATCTAAAAAGGAAGCATATTTTACCAGAAAGGTAGGCAATATTGCAATTATGACCTGTACCACGTGTTCGTAAACGAACACAGCCACACCCATTCATTTACAGATTGCCCAGGGCTGCTCTGCAGCCCCAGTGGCAGAGTTGTGTAGTTGGTATAGACAGAAGGGCCCATAAACCGTAGAAGAGTTACTTTTGGCCCTCCACAGAAACAAACATCTAGGTTACAGAAACATGTGAGATTTTATTGGAAGATTGCATTCAAAACCCAAAGGGGTCTCTATGTAACATATGTCCTCAGTAGCAACAGATACAAATCCTATTTTCCCATTAGCTTCAATTTTGCAACAGAAGTTAGGGAAAGCCCACAAAAAGAATAAGCTGAAAACCTAACATACCAATTTAGGTATATCTTCGGTAAGAAGTGTAATCTATTTTCTTTTTGAAATCTATAATACTTGGTTAAAATGTCTGAATCCCCAAGAATTTCTCCTACCTCTGGTCAGCTTCTCTTATCTCTTACCAGAGAAATTTCTTATTAGAACACCCAACTCCAGGTTCACAATTTATAGAATTTGTACCCCGATTTTGTCAATTCATATTTAGTAATGCAAGGCAATAACGACACACGTCACTATCAGTGGAACTACAGAGCAAGGAATGTTACCCTGAAATACCTTTAGCTCACTGCTTCACATGTTCTACAGTAAGTTATAACCGAATACCAACCTATAGCATTACAAATCATATATATGTTTTTTGAAAAGTCCTGAAGGCTTTAGATAGTCATTGGTGGTTAAAACATGTTCACGGTTTTTTCTTTTTTTTTTTTATTTTTTTCCTTTAGGCTAATGAATCCTTATTTTCATCACGTTCACCTGACCATGTAATTATACTTTCTAAAATTCTATTACCAAATTGTTAATATGAAATTGTAGTTATGTTTTTAAGGAGTCTCTTACCTCTTGAAACACAAACTGAAATATTAATAGTTGAAGAGATATCTGGGATTAATATCAAAATAACTACAAAGGGAGGGGGAAATGTTGGAGCGGCCAGAACTGGTAACTGTTCACTTAAGTATGAGTCACAGGGACTCGTTTTTCAAACCTATACAAAAAGTAGGCAGACTTTTTCCATAATAAAAAAAATGTTTTCAACGTAAAAAAGGATTTATTTTTCTCTACTTACCATCTAGTAATTCTAGAGTAACTGTAGGATCCACATATTCCCACCAATGTTTTCCATCAGTTGACACAGGAATCTCCCAATTGGACCATTTGCAAGCCAAATGAATACATACACATGCTATCACTGTTGGTTTGTATTGAAGACAGAAGGTGGTAAGGTGGAGACTGTTGTAGAGCAGGTTTGAAAACGAAGAACCATAGTAATTCAAATATGTAAAACAAAGAAGAATATTTACCAATAAGATTAGAGCAAAAACATAAACGTTTTCTTTTTTAAGTCTACAGTACAAAACCATATTAAATTAAAAACTAGCACTATAGTTATAAAATTCTAATACTAAAAAACCTACATAGATTATGAACATTCTCTACATTCTGACTCCCCAGATCATTATACTATTATTTTATTAAGACTACTAATATATTAATATTTCTAAATTTTGAAGTATTTTTACTTCTTCATAAAAGGAGAAGACAGTGTATTTCCAATAATCAGCATATAACATTTTAATTTTTTTGTAGTATTTTTGTTTCTTTTGTAATGTCATGGCAAAAAAGTAAAGAAAAAGCAGAAGACTGTAAAATTGACAAAGTAATTTCAACATCACATTATAGAATCAGGAATTCTACCATTTGATGTGGGTTAGCAAACATAATTCTCAAGTCAAAGAGAATCTAACACTTATCTATGTAAACCTCTGTCTTCTTTTCAGCAAAGCCACAGAGAAAACTTACCTTTTGGTGAACAGCTTCAAGGCCCAATGCTGCTAAGTACTAGAAAAATGCTACCTTTCTCCTTCTGCTATATGCCCCAAACTGGGCATGTAACATGTTACAGCTAGCTTTTTCTAATGAGAGTTTTATATTTAGTACTTTGTTTTTCAAAATTCCAAGGGATAGAGGTTAAATCCCAACAACATATACCTAAGAAAATATATTCGTATTTGCCAATCCAAAGCTTTACATAAAACTTAACAGTGTCACAAGAAATCAAGGACCACACAATGCTAGTTTGGTCCCCTCCTCCCAAATGACCCATTTAAAAAACAAATTTAAGGCATTAATATAATCAACCCAGAACAGAATTATCTATTAGATAGTAAAGGCTTTAAAAAATTATTCTTCCAGTTCAGTTCAGAATTGATGAAAAATGTTTATCAAGAGCAAACCCACACCACTTTTTCTTTATGTAAACTGAAAAGGAAATAAGTTTTTTTAAAGTAAAAATTGTACTTAGTCAAATCTAGGCACTGACAGGACTTGGCTACTTCTGATTTACAACTAGTGGGTATTATCTGGAAAAAAACCCCAAGTTATATAAATTTTATTTATTAAAAAAAACTTTTATGATTAAAGTTAAGATTGGATCAATGTGAAATTTAAAAAAATTGTCATTTAACTATAATTGTAAACTAGAAATAGCTTTATACTTACCAAGTTGCTCGAATTTCTACGTTAAGTTTAGCTCTTTGTAATCTTTAGCTGCTATTCAGGCTACCAATTTTAGACTTATGCACTCACAAATCGAGAATATGTCATCAGAAAGCACCACTACACTTCACAATGTGCATTTAACCCCTCTGTGCCAAAAGTCCCTTGTACAATACACCGCAAAGCAGACAGGAAGGTACCACCACAGTAGATGGTCCAGTCTCCTGTTGCAACAAGGGTAAGAGACACATTGAGGGGGCCCTGCATTAAAGGAAGCTATAGTGTGCTACAACAGTGCAACAAAGAGGGTCAGGATAACAACCTGTTGGTAGCCATGAAATAGGATGTCTGTGCCAAATCCTTGCTTGCTGTAAGAAAAGAAAAAAAAAACGAAGACAATACTATCAGCTTTAATGTGCTACCATCAAAAAGTTCTCAACACAACAAAAACTTCAAAGTTTTGTACACAAAAAGTAAATTTTACTTACTACTTACAAATATCACAAGAGCGCCATCATTTTCTATACTACTGAAAATCTTCAACAACATTCACTCAAATGTTTCTTGCTATCCCCCAAAGATCTGAGAAACAAGCCGATTTGCTTTTAGCTAGCCAGTTACAAGGGCTAAACTTGTTACTAAGTTAAGCATCTAGTCAGCTAAAAGTTGCAATAAAGCATTCTCCTGGATTTAAAAAAAAAAAAAAGAAGAAGAAGAAGAAGAAAAGATTTTGAAGTCTAATACAAAATACAAAGAGTTGCCTGCCAGACTTAATCCTCAGTCATCATATTTAAGTTGGCTTAAGTACTTCCATCCAAAGAAAAGAAAACAAAACCCCCACCCCCCCCAAACTCAAGAGAGCACAAACTGCTCAGTTTTTCATGCTACTAAGCATCAACAAGGAATAAACAACCTAGAAACATCCTAAGGGCATAGATATAGAAAACTCCACTGCATATATTTTTCTTACAGAATCCAATAGTCAACTTTAGAAAAAGATATAAGTACTCCGGGGAATCAGGATGCTTCAACAATGGTCCCCAAACGAAAAGCAATTTTTACCAACTAGCTTTTAAGACATTGAAATTGAAAACAGTCCCCCGCTCACTTCATCTGATTTCTTATTCTCCCCAAGAGGGATTCTTTTGCTATAATTTCCCTTTTCCCCCAATTACATTCATAATCATTGATGTACCTTTCCCCTCTGCTCACCTAGGATCAGTTCACCTCAACTCACCCCTCTCTAACAGGCCTCAAATTTGCCCTGTATTTTTTTCATGGCACCTGTAATCCCTGCTGCCCCATGTGGATCACCAACATAAGGTATACAAAAGGGATTTGGGCTTAGCAGAGTTGTGCTAAGGAAGAGTGTCAAAGCATCAGATGTCTTGGAGGCAGTGTGACTTATGTATGGCATTCTTTCCTGGTGGGGAGGGAAGGAGAAATCACAGAAATGAAAGGTCCCTGTAAAATGACATTAGCCAATTCTGCAGCAAAGTAGCATAATATCAACTTTCTCAAGTCCAGAGGGGGTGGGGGGGGCGCGAAGAACTTTAAAGAAACCAAACCATTTACCACCCCCCTGCCCCCCAAAGAATCAAAATATGTAGAGAAGTAAAAATAATTTTAAATTGCCGTAGCAGTTTTTACCTCAGAATATATCTAAATTCAATAACCTATTAACAGTGTGCAACAGAGGAAGAATGTAGGGAAAATGTATGTTAGCTGAAAATTTTAACAGAGCAAAGAAAAACAGACACCAAACATGAAAGAATGTTTTTAAATGGAGTGAAATGTAAACTATAGTTACCTGAAATGTTAGTCAGACAAAATAGAAGTTAAACATATGTAAGATTTATACTAAAATTTAAGAATTGGTCACATTTTAAGCATTAACAACAACAAAAAATTAGATTTAAATATTCTGCTTTGGATAAAACATCAAATTTATAGTTTTTGTGAATTTGTAAAAACTTACTATTCAACTTTGCAAATGAATGGACTTGATGTCTCTAGCTTTAGATACAGGGGAACACGTACAAAAGCTACTGAACTCTGATTACGGATTTTTGAAGAGGACTCAAATTTCACAATGATACTAAGCTGAAAATCCAGTTTCATCTCCTACTAAGTACATATATATATGTTTTAACCTATATAAATATCTTCTTTCATTAGGCTTAGTTTAAAGCAAAGTTACATGGCTCCCCATTATTCTGACAAAACAGCTTATTCTTTCAAGTTTTTAGGAAAACTACTCTAAAACTTTTTTTTTCTTAATTCAAACATATACACTAGTTATCTAATATAATTCTATACTACACTGTAATTCTGGGATGAAAATGTGCTCTAAATTATATTCCAATAACCATGAAGTACAGGAATCATAATTGAATATGTTCTACAAGTCATAACATGTACTAGCTATTGGAATCAAAAAAATATAAATGGGACTTTCAGAAATCCATGTCTTAACAATGACACTGTGATAACAGATTTGTTTTAAATGTAGCCATTAACAATAAAATCCTACCAGGTATATGAATTAAATTTAGAAGGAATAAAATGTGATAATATTCAGGTAAACACTAAAAAACAAAGCAGAGCCTTTAAAAGTCTTACCCATTTTGTTTAGAATAAACCTAAAGAAAAGAATCTGGGGGTAAAAGAATGAAACTGCAAAATTTCATTTCCAAAAAGTAACAGAAAAAGGCAATGAAAGTTCCAAGTGGTTGCTCTTAGTACATTAACACTTCAAATGGGAAACAGGAAAGTAGAAGTAAGAAGTAGTGTAACAACATGCAACTGTGTAAAGAATATATCGAGGGATACAAGAACAGATACATAGGATTCATTAACAAGAGTAGAAAAATGTATACCACATGCTTTATAAGCAGTAAAGCAAATAATACAAAAAGTTCCTACTCCTGTTTTAAAACGTTTAATAGGCACATCACTTGCTGTCTGTAGCATACTATGTATTTCCCCAAAACACACAAAAAAGAAATTATTTTCAATAATGCTAAAGAACTTTGAAAAATGTATTAAACCAATTTTGTTCAAATGAACACGGGGAAAATATTTCCAAAATGGCAAACCTGCTAAGACAATTTTTATCTGAAAGATCTGAGGATGGCCTCCAAATTCTTAAACTGTAATCATTTTTCTAGAAGTCAATGAAAACTTAGATAGACCAGAAATTTTCTGCGTGTTATGTGTCAATGGCCAACTTCTTAAATATTAAATGAAATGGGACTGGCTTAGCCTAATGGGGAGGTGGGGAGAGTCTTAATATTTGGAAGCCCTCCAATTTTTTAGTGAAAGGAGATTCTCCTGTAAGTTTAAGGGAAACTAATTCACCAGGTAGAACCACATACAGAAGTAGATGAATAGGTAGATGTAGGACACCAAAAGACGTTGCTTCAAAACGACATCTCCCCATTTTGAGAAAACTCATTCAAATCAATTACAGACAATAAAAAGCATTAATACTTAATTTAGAAGTTTCAAAGATCACTTACCTCTTACTAACTGGGTACATTTCACCACATCTGTGTGTGGATGTTCAATGGTGATCTCAAAACCTGAAATGAAAAGCACTTTTTTCCCAATCACTTACCACACTACAATACTTGCCTGAGAAATGCCATGTGTCAGCACAACCATAAATGTGTATAATACATCGTTCATTATTAAAAAGATCCAAAGACAAAGTTATTTTGACATGCTCATTATACCTTCAATGACGAGAAATAATTTCTTCTCAAAAACAATGTTCCACTTAATGAAAACTGGTTAACAAAGCTATTCGTAGATTGGGGTGATATTTATTAAAAATTATGAATTATGATTAGTTTGAGATTACCTTCAGGTTAAAAACAAAATTATGGAAAATATAACTATTAAGCAAAGAATTCAACTATGTAACATATTTTTAAACGTATTACAACTCTTTCCGAAGATGCAAAAAGAGTATTTTTCATAAATATAATCCCTGGGCCATAGTGGGATAAAAAAGACCTTTTAAATGATTTATAGTCCTCTTATTTTCTTAGTATGCCTTAGATGAGAGGGTTTCAAAGCTAAGTATAATTAGCTTATAATTACACTTCATTGATAATAAAGTTATTAAGACAAGTGAACCTTGTAGGCTCAAGATTCTTTAAATCACTGTTTCTAAAACCAAAGATAAAATGCTGAAAGAGCTTTCAATGTCTAAACAACCCTTAGGCAGGGCGTGGTTTTTCCGTTTTAAAAAGTGGAGGTCACATCTAGTGTCTTCAGAAGCAGTAAATGAATAACATCCTGACAAACAGGTAATCTAGATTTTTAAAATTGCTGTGTGATCTATTCCTACTGTAATTAAAACTGCAAAACCATACTTTAATCAAAGCCACAGAAGTGTATCTTAAAAATTCTAACATTCCCCTTAAAATAACGTAATTTTCCTTTTAACCTTTATTACACAAATCTTTGTAAATTTCATATTTATATAATGTCATACAATAAAGCAATAACATGCTAAATCATTGGATTTGGGGATAATAAGATTCTCACTTTTATTTTTATATCTTTTTATATTATAAAAACATCAAACAAGTTATATCTATTTCAAACAAGCTACTTTTCTTAAAAAAAAAAAAAGTCTGTCATGATGGGAGGCCATGATTATTGCACTTCTTTTCAACATTTGGGAATGGAGTAATAAATAAATAACTACCATAATGAATAACGGCTACTTATGACACACACACTATGTGGTACATGTTTTTTATATACTCTCTCTCATCTTCAAATTCACAATGCTAAGGCAGACATTATTTCTCCATCTCGCATATATAGAATGGAGATATGAAAGGTAAAACAACTTTGCCCAAGCTTAAAAAGCAAGTCAAAGGGATATGGATTTTAAACCAAGAGCTCCATAAAGCCCATGTTATTCCCATCATACACTGCTAAGTTCTTCCAGAAGTAATATATGACTTCACACAAGACAGACCTTGTTAGGTCTCAATTTCCTCAACAATAAAGTGAAAGATTCAAATAGATAATCTTTAGAGATCACTTAAACTGCAAAAAACTTGAAGACAATGTAACTTTTAGAAAAGGATGATCATTTAAACAATTACTGTGTCACATTAAAAATGTGATAAATTTATTAAATATTGACTATAAGTCAGAATATTTGTACACATTACAATCATATGCAGTCTTTCACAATGAAAACTATGCTTACCATTCAATTAATGGTAAATGAAATTTTTAAAAAAATGGTTTCCTTATAACCAGGTAACTATTCTGGCCCCAAACATTGTTTTAAAATGAAACTTTGTTTGGGCGCCTGGGTGGCTCAGATGCTTAAGCGTCTGCCTTCGGCTCAGGTCATGATCCCAGGGTCCTGGGATCGAGTCCCGCATCGGGCTCCCTGCTTAGCGGGAAGCCTGCTTCTCCCTCTGCTTCTCTCTCTCTCTCTCTGTGTCTCTCATGAATAAATAAATAAAATCTTAAAAAAAAAAAAAAGTTAAAATGAAACTTTGTTCAATGATAAAATTATTCCATCTTTAGGACACCACACTGAAGAACACAACACAAAAATAATATCTGACGTAAGTACATACCTAGGGTTTGTAGCATTATGGTTTCAAGTAAAACCAGTTCTTGAGTCTGTTGAAGGTAAGCCTGCCAGGTAAAAATAATAACATTAAAATGCTTAAGATAAACACTACTAGACTATGGGACCGTTAAATCATTACAGAAGAATCAGAGTAGTTTGGAAACACAAAAGAAATAATTTGAGGGCGACAGACAAATCCTATTTTCTACAACCAATCTAAATTGAATTACTTCTAATACAGAATATGTAAACAAGGTAAGAAAAAAACAACAAAAAAACCCTAAAAAGACAACAATAACATGAAAGGAGGTAGAGCTTAACTGAAAACAACAAACCCTCCAGCCTGTAATATAAAACTTCATGTAGGCACTGGTGCTTCAAGACATACTAAGATAGGAAGCACCAACTCAAGCAAGAACATCAAATTCAAACCTGCCTGTAAAGAAAAGACGCATAAACTCACTCTAAGATATTTCATGTGGTAATTCCCTGATGGTGAGAGTAAGTCAGTGAGTTATTTTTTTAGAACTTCCTCTCTTCAAAAAGACAAAATAAAATCAAAGCAAACCCTCAAATCTCTAAGTTAAAAGAAAACATTTTAGATATAAAATATCAAAAGAATGTTATCATACACCCATGGGGAAATAGAGGGCCTTCTCTTTTAACTTCAACAAATCATTCCCCTACTGTAATTACTCTGGGAATAAAGAGTATGAAAAATTTCTACCATTATCAAATTTCTTAAATTATGACAACTGAGTGTAAGGTGATAAAAAAACAATACATCATACATAAATATTCATGTAAGGACATGTTGCTAAACTCAGAGTGAAAAGCACCTTTATTTATGTCCCATTTTAAAAAGGTCACTAGATGATTTTTTTAAAGCATAGATTTCTATTATTTGAGCAATACCCTAAGTATTCACCAAAATTAATTCTGAATTTGTAAAGTGAATAGAAATTACAAGAACAATCTCTGAATAATCACACATTTTTTATTATTGAATGGTTACATTAGTATCTCACTCCCTTAAAGCCAACATCTAAGATAAAACTTGTCATTAATAAACTCAGATATACTTTAAAAAAAAAATCAGATACACTTTTTTTTATATCAGATATACTTAATCTGGACTTTAGGATTAACTAAATGAAAGTAAACTAATACAATCTGGCAGTCATTTGGTAGTTACAAGTTCCCGATAAAGGAACTCACCTATAATACAAGTGCTGGGAAAGTGAATTTAAAGGCCTAGAATTCTAGCTTCTGTTTTAAGATGTTGTAACATTTTAAAATGGCACTTTCAAAATGGTCTATTAAAATGTTGATGATGAACAAGTTGTTTAGAAGTTAGCATTACTCTTGAAAAGATTAAAATATGAAAAAAACCCTCTCATGAAAGTATGGTAAAACAGCATCTTTATGGATCAGTATCAGAGAGGTAGCTATTAGTATATATGCATTAACAAAGGAACAATTCTGTAAAATTACTATTTACTATTCTAGAGGCAAGTCCAGGGTTTTTTTCTATTTTTTTTCATTGTTGACAATTTAAGAGTTATTTATCTCTGGTCTCAAATGGAGCCAAACAATGGAGATGATATGACTTACCCTCTACATATAGCATAGGTTTGCTGTGAGGATAAACAACAAAATGTGAAACACTTATAACCACCTTTGAATCACAGCCTTAACATGATTCAGAACGACACTGAAACTCATGTACACACATAAAATCTGTTTCTGTTAGATCACTCCCCAGTATTACATCCTAAATGGTGAAAGAAATAAGCAGCAGTTGGAAGGCAACACCAATTGAATTATTATTACATACATCACATTTAGTATCCAGCAGTGGCTCTAAGGGATGAAGACAAGCATGTGCTACTTTGATAACATGTTCAAGTTTTCGAGCCTGTTCTTCCACTTTTGCAGCCAAAAATAATGCGGTAGGTGATATTATCTGCAGAAAAGATAAACATTTGGTGATTTAAAAGTAAAATATTTTGGAAAAACCTTCTATTTTCTAAAGGAGGGGCGTGCAAAGAAGGAATGGAGTATTAAAAGTATGAACTGTGAGTTGGGCTGAGATTGATATAAGAGTTTTAATAAAGGGATTCATTAAATAAAACTAGTTACCCTAGTCTATAAAACCTGCTTTACTTATTTTGCAAATAGGACACCAAAGGGAAAAAGGAAAAAGACTTCTATTTGGGCTAACTAAAAGAAACTTTAAATCTTACTAATGCATATTGTGGAGGTAAAGGGGGGAAAAAAAACCCTCGAGCAAAATAATAAAGCCATAGCTTAAAAAAAAAAAAAAGTAGTAAAATATACCCAGATTTTCCTTCTTTGTAGGTACAGCCACTACTTTCTAGGGTTCTTTTAAATTAATCAATTCAGGGGCGCCTGGGTGGCTCAGTCGTTAAGCGTCTGCCTTCGGCTCAGGTCATGATCCCGGGGTCCTGGGATCGAGTCCCACATCGGGCTCCCTGCTCGGCAGGAAGCCTGCTTCTCCCTCTTCCACTCCCCCTGCTTGTGTTCCTGCTCTAGCTATCTCTCTCTCTGTCAAATAAATAAATAAAATCTTTAAAAAATAAAAAATAAAAAATAAATTAATCAGTTCATTGTGTGGCTAAGAGCTACATAATACCGCTTTCGGGACAGAAAAAGGGTCTATAAGGCACAATGAGAAGATTCTGAACGTGATTACTACCTAGTATCTGTATTACTTCACTACAGCATATTAAAAGTAGGTAAGAAAAAAAAAAACCCAACCCAGGGAATAAACATGTAAGATAAACCAAGAGAGCAGAAACACTGCCAACAGGAGATCAAGAAATATGCAATATTTTTTGGCTTCAGTAAGTTATATGTTCTTGGGATTGAAGTGTAAGAACATAGCACTACAAAGACATTGACTAAGACAGAGAAACATCAATTTTGAGCAATATTTACCCAAAAAGGTAGTAATAAACCAAATTTATTGCTGACTCAGAAAATAGGCACATTCTAAATTCAAATAATCTAAGATTACACAGAAGAAATTTCTCATGGGAAGATGATTTCTAAATGATAAGATTCAGATTCATTATTTTTCAAGAGACGAACACTGAGTCTCACTGTATCTTGGGGGTCATCAATCACTATATAGAAACAATGCCAAAAGAGGGAGGGGAGGAGAGAAAGCATAAATCATGCTGCAGGATTTGGGTAGTTAACATGAGGAGAAAGTTTCTGATACAAGGAGGACTCTTTCCTCTGAGCTTTTAAAACAACTTATAAATAATGCTGAACCATGAAATTTAATCACTGGATTTTGGATCTGAAAGGGACCTTCACTAGTCCAATTGCATTTGCAGATGAGTAAATGGGGTAAAAATGACTTCAAGAAATTCACTTCCTGATTATACATGTTTAAAACAGACCTAAAATTAAGTGAGCTTGGCTCCAAACAACCAGTAATGTTACCTTAAAAGGACTGAGTAATTTCAACTTGGGACTTTCAACTTACTTCCATCCTTCAGAATTAAAATTACAACAAGGAAAAGATGTCAAAATTGAGAATGCTCAAAAAAGCAACTTATTCTTAGTTTTCACAGACTGAGAATAAACTGTTATCTTTACAACAAATTTAATTAAGCAACACCAAAATTAGTTAATATTCTTGAAATACCAACTAAACTTAAGCAGTCATGCAGGCAGGGGGTTTTCTGAAATGTAGAAAGTACAAGAGAGTGGATAATCATTTCTGAGCTCAGTTATTTCTTCCACATCCTGAAAATTTCCTACACTGCTACCTACTTTGTTTGATTAATTCCTTTTCTATTTAAAGGCTTACTTCATCCTAAGGAAAATTCCTGAGTCAGAGTGAAGTGTCCTTCTTCATTCAACAGGAAGCTGCATACCTCTATTATTGTACTTTCACTGTATTCTAACTTCTGGCTTATTAATGTTGTCTGCCCTACCAGTCTAGAAGCAGCTTAAATATAGAGACTGAATTACTCATTCATGTTCCCATTGTCTCCCATTGTGCAGCTGCTGTTCGACGTATTTGCCAAATGAATGATATGTGGATAATCCACATATAATTATAAGGGCACCGATGTTAAATTCGAAGTATTCCAAATCCCACAGTAAAATCTAAGAGCCAACAGCATGGGGTAAGAAATGCAAGAAACAATAAAGATACTCTCGGTTTCCCACAATCTCTCACTTTTTATCCAAGTCATGTCTAAGAGGGGAATGGCTAAGCCAGCCATCAAATGCCAGAACTATTTACAAAAGAGTGAAGCAATACAGACTCAAGTCCAATGTCAAATTACACTGAACTTAATACATAAATGTCCTTCTTAACTGCCAGATGATCCAGGATTTCTTACTTGCCTAAAAGGTACCTCTAAAAGTCTCCAATGAGTTCTTCTTGGTAAAATCTCTTAGGACTCCCAGTGACCGCTTCATTCTCTTCAGACTTCTTGTAAGCCTCAATACCAACAAGTACTTTCAAACCACACTGCTTTTCTCATTACAAGATAGTCTCAATGGAAACAAAGTATGTGTACTAGTGAATGGTTCTAAAGTTCTACAAATAATTAAAAAAATCAAATGTTCAGAGAGCTAAGCAATGATCTTCAGGGTAGATTCCTGGGTTATTTACCCACACTCCTCACAGAAGTCTTTCTGTTCCCTCTAAATAGGGCTCAATTCTCATCCTCCTCCAGTGCAACATTAATACCCAACACTCTTCCAAAGTTCTGGTGAAATCCACTAACTCCATTCACATTTCCTCCTCTATAGCCTGCAAACATTTTACTCCATCAGGGCTGTAAAAACAAAACACCTTTTTAGATAATACTTTGTGAATATCCATGTGAGGCTTTAATTTTAAGGATGACTAAAGAAGGTAATCAAGTTAGGTACTTCTGCTTTTTTGTATAGAAAGCTGATTTTGTTGTGTGGCTTATTGAAAGGAAAAGAATTCCAAAAGTTCTAAGTAATGGCTATATTATTAGTTGGTCTGTGGCTTTTAAAGGTGAGGGTCCTTTTTGAAGGCAACAAACATTCATTAATGCATGTAAACTTGGTTCAAAGTCAAAGAATTCACACCAGTATTGGAGCAGATACTTGGTTTGAGTGAGCAAACAACTACAAACTGAGATTTAGTTCACTGGGGACAGGGACCGTGCACTATCCATCCTTGTGTTGTTATCTAATTTAATAAACCTTCTTGAATTACTATAATTAAAGGAAATAAAAACTGATTTTTAAATAGTGTCCAGAGTTTGCCAGCCTAGCAGATGTACAACTATTTCAAAGGGATATTATGTTCTCAAAACAAGACAAATTTCTACAGAAATATACCATACAAATCATGGAGAGGGGGAGGTGGAGGTGATGAAGCTAGCTGTAGCACAGTAGTCAGGCTGCCTCAGTGGAATCCTGGCTCTGTTATCTGACTAGCCTAGGCAAATTACTTATTCTCTTTGTGGCTCAGTTTCCGCATCTGTAAAATGGAAGAAACAGTATCTGCTTATAAAACTGTGGTGAGGATTGAATGAATCAATATATGTAAAGCACTTAGAATAGTGCCCCAGAGTAACAGGACTCAAATACTATCATTACTATGTTGTAAAATTAAACAACTGTGTATTGCTACTGCTGATCTTAAAATTAAAAAGTGATTGAGCATGCTTTTAAAAATTCCTTTCTTTCGGGGCGCCTGGGTGGCTCAGTTGGTTAAGCAACTGCCTTCGGCTCAGGTCATGATCCTGGAGTCCCGGGATCGAGTCCCGCATCGGGCTCCCTGCTCGGCGGGGAGCCTGCTTCTCCCTCTGACCCTCCCCCCTCTCATGTGCTCTCTCATTCTCTCTCTCTCAAATAAATAAATAAAATCTTTAAAAAAAAAAAATTCCTTTCTTTCTTGCTCATCTTCCTTTCACAGTTAAACTGAATTCTTTAAAGGTTCCATGGTAGCCCTAACTAAGCAGATTCAGACACACTAAAGTGATGACACACAACATTACTACAATCACTTCAATACACCAGTATTTTTTTTGTCCCTTCTCCCTCCAGCTGTTGTCACCCCCTTCTCTTTTTCTAGTCCTTTATATGTTTCCATTCCTACCACTTGATCTGACTCCCTTCCTTCTCCATCTTTTCTCCTCCTGCCCATTCCTGGCCGCTGTCTCCCCTTTCTGCTCATGATGCCCTCACTGCTGACATTCTTAACTCTCCACTGCTGGCTTCAACCTTGATATTTGGAGGCAAGGTCAGTTAGAATTAACAAAAGCCTGGGTAATTTCTAAATCACTGATGATGGCTATACCAGTCAGTTTCAAATGAATCATTCTGGTCTTTATTCTTTTAGTAATTAATTTTGTGCATACACCTTGTGTGTACATCTGTATTTAAGAACTAGCCATAGCTGGGCA